AAAATGAAAAATTATGATTGGTTGAATGAGGTTTTCACGGTTTTTACAAATTGAGTGATATTTATTTGAACCCACCCCTATATATATATATCAACCCCACCATGTTTAACTTATCGTCTAGCTTCTCTTTGTGGAAAATATGTTGAATAGGTTGCAAGCCTATGAGGTGTTTAATATGTGCAAGTTAAATGAACCCTTTTATCCATCAACTTATACTTGAAAGGCATGCAAATATTGACTAAAATATAGTTATTTGTTTGAGGGTTATGTAATTTAATAGGTGTAGAAAAAGTCGATGAATTTGCATTAGCCCATGAAAGCTAGGGTTGTCAGAAAGATTGCAATTTGGTAAACATGTTTCTTGTTTACGGGTGATAGAAAACGTTAAAATTGCTGGGAGGAATGTAGCGGAATCATTATAAAGAATACATAATTTTATTGCGGATCAGAGGCAAATGAAAAATCACTATGACTACCTTAAAGGCAAACACAATTTTCAGTTTTTTTAAATTCGTTTATTGATTAAAAAGGATCAATACATAATTTACAGATTGCAGCGGGATAAAATAAGGTAAAACCTAATCTAAACAATCTATGAGAATCACTAAGTAGACGCATAAGAAAGATAAGAACAAGAGAGAAGAGAGTTTAAAGGAAGAAGGCGTAACCGAAAAGAAGAGTCTTCTCAGTTATTTATACCCATTGCATTTAATGCAAGCCAGATGGTACAATCCACGTGACAAAAGTTTGTTGGAGAGCTTGTCTTTTGTCTTCAGATATGCAGACTTTTGACCGTATATAAACAGGTAACTCTTACAAAATAGGTAAGCATGTCTAGAGACAATAAAGTAACTCCGTACATGTATATTTATGTGTAAGGTATGAGGTTGTCCTTTTATGCATGTAAAATAAGACGAAAACTAATTTTCTTGAAACGTTACTATATTATAAAATTAACTAAAAGGATATGTTGAAAAATAAGTCAAACTATAAATAAATGACATAATTAAGAATGGGGCTGCTACACATACTCTCC